ATACGGGCGCATCTCTGCTCCCAGTATAAACCAGCTTCCAGCGGAACGGCCACAAACTGCCCCAGCCCGTTTAAACGGAGTAACGTTGAGGCGATAGTGCTGAGGCAACTTGTGCAGCAGGGTTAATTCTTCCCCTCCGGTGGGGGCAAGTAAATTCTAACACTATAACTTAATAAAACAAAAAAAAAGAAAACACGGGCCTAGTTTCTAGGAAGGGAAGAAGCAGCCACAGACCAGGCTTCAGGGGGAAGAAAGGTGCAGTTCACGTGTGAGATCCTGCAGTCAGCTCTGTTCCAGTGTCAGGAGCGATAAAATTTACAATCCCCACTTCAAAATGACAACAGGGCGAGGGTTCCAGGGCCGACTCCTCTGTGTTTTCCCCTGAACTACGCAGCACCGGTGTCAACTTGGCCACGCCAAGGCCGTCACACACACACACGCCGCACGGGGAGGGAAGGAAGAACGCAGAGACGTGCGGCTCCCACGCGGAACGCGCCCAGCCCCCTGGGGGGGGGGGGGGTTCACAGCTAATGACAGAGCCACCATCAAGCCTTATTGTTCTCCCCCCCAAAAAACAACTTTGCTGTTCATAACGCACCTCCCCCTCACCTGCAAATAAAAGCTTTGCCCGTTTCCCAGACTTAAAACCCCAAAATACAGGGCTGCTTTTGCAAGGCTGAAGGGGCGCGAGAGACCCAGCTCTCCCTAGCGCTTGTTCTAAGACAAGGCAACCTAAATACAGGTTTCAGCCAAGTGTTTTCCAGATTTTTATCTTCGGGAGGGAAAAAAAAGCAGCGATGGATGCGTAGCAGCACATTTGCTGCCTAAAAACTCACACCTTGAACATCTTTCACCACGGCAGTGGGTTTGAGCACGCTTTCCTCCAGGCCCGAACGTGCCCTGCACGGTGTAAGGGGTTTGGGCACCTCCCCTACATCAGCAGCTGCGCTGCAAATCTCTATGCCGGGTTTCCATGTCGTCCTACTGTAAAAACAGGGGAGGGGAAAAAAAAAATGGGGAAAAAAAAATACCCCAACCCCTCTTCAAGTGAGGGTTTCTGTGAGCCCAGGTCTGGAGTCGGGCAGCGGGTCCCTTCCCAGCTTCCCCCCGTGCACCCAAGTCGCTGCGGAGCCAGGCAGCTCCCTCTGCCCCAGGGGTGGCTGGAGCGGAGCAGGCAGGAGGTCAGCG